CTCTCAGCCCTATTTTTTCTCTTGTAACTTCACGTGCTAAATAGATAGCCATGTTTTACCTCCTATTACTTCCCACGTCTTTATCCAAAGCCAAAATTTATTTTCTACTTTTTTATCCAAAGTCAACCTATTATTGAAAAGATAAAACCCCTTTTACATTTATCCGTATCCTATTTATATTCTTAAACTAACTAACCCAACTGATACAAGATAAACTCATGCTCTCCTAATTATCCCTGTGCACTCCTTATTCTTATCAAAAGAATAAAAAATTAAAATAACCTTAATAATCCCCCCTTATTAAATCATTGTTTTTTTCTTTCCCTCTTGGGTTCTACTACCCTTCTTGGCCCAGGCATGAACCATCGACTGGGACATGACTGCATCATTCCCCCCAAGTTGAAAGGAACTTGACTCTGGTGAATTGGCTTCAGTCTAGATGCGATATAAGTATGGATCCACCCTTTTGAATTCTTGCTCAGAAATCCACATGCTATCAGAGTATGGTCTGGTCTTCCATTTGACTAGATATTGGTGATGGGAACTTTTTTGAGTTTGAAAGTTTTCAGTGTTTTAAACTTGCTCAATTTCTTCAGCTTTCTTTCTTGGTAATTGCTTCATATCAACTACTTCTTCTTCAACTTCTAAAGGGTCTCCATGAAACTCAAATAAGTCAGCAATATTAAATATCGATTAGATATCCAATGTCGTTGGTAATTCCACCTTGTATGCATTGTTCTCATATTGCTTCAAAATGCGGCAATAACCCACCTTCTTGGACTTGAATTTATTATATGTTCCCAATGAAAACCTCTCTTTTTGCAAATACACCATTACTAAGTCCTTCTCCTTGAAAATGTTTTCTCTTCTACGTTCATTTTTCTTCAACCATAGCCATAGTTTTGTCCTTCCTAAAATGCCCACCTAAGCCCTCACCATGAAGCTCCATGATTATCATCTCCCTTAGGGAGCAATCAGATATACATAACCGCACACCTTTAAATAAAAAAATCATCATGCATGAGATAGTCACCCATAGGGTCTCGCCCATCAACACACCTTTCAAGGACCTTGCTGAAAATTGGGTCAACTTTATATTGGTCTTTTATCACTTCAAACGCCAACAATTCTATGGACAAAGTTCGAAGCAACACTACCCTTCTACTTAAAGCATCAACTGCCTTATTTTGGGTTCCAGCCTTGTGCTTTAATAGGAATGTGTACTCTTGAAGGAAGGTCATCCACTTAGCATGTCGCGCATTCAACTTCTTCTGGGAACTCAAATATCAAAGTGCCTCATGATCTGAGTATAGAACAAACTCCCTATGAATCAGATAGTGCCTCTAGTAGCGTAAGGCTTGCACCACTGCATAAAACTCAAGGTCATAAACCAAATACTTCTTACGTGCTTCATTTAGCTTCTCACTAAAGAAGGCCACTGGTCAATCCTCTTGACTTAGAACTGCCCCTATGCCAACATTTGATGCCTCAGTTTCAACCTCAAACACCTTAGAAAAATCTAGCAAGGCAAGTACTGGTTCTTGCATCATCTTTTGTTTAATTAAAGTGAAGCTCTTTTTAGCAGCAGGACTCCATGAAAACTTTCGATCCCTCATACAATCAGTCACTGGTGCTATTAGAGTGCTGAAATTTCTGATAAATCGACGATAAAAGGTCGCTAGGCTATGAAAAGAACACACCTCAATGAGTGACTTTGGAACAATTAGCTATGGCCTTCACCTTTTCTTGATCCACCTTAATTCCCTCAAATGAAACAACATACCTCAGAAAGACGACATTGTTCATCATAAATGACCATTTTTTCAAATTCATAATAAGTGATTCCTTCCTTAGCACATCAAAACTTATTCCAAGTGATTAAGATGATCTTGTAGGTTATCACTAAAAACCAAGATATCATCAAAATAAACCACAACAAATTTACCAGTTAATGAACGAAGTACCTCACTCATTAGGCGCATGAATGTGCTTGATGCATTAGAAAGCCCGAATGGCATCACAAGCCACTCATATTGTCCATCTCGAGTTTTGAATGCAGTCTTCCATTCATCCGCCAGGCGAAACCGAATTTGATGGTACCCACTCCTTAAATCAATCTTTGAGAAAATCTTGGCTCCATTAAGCATATCTAACATATTATCAAGCCTGGGTATGGGAAATCGATACTTGATTGTAATTTTGTTGATTGCTCGACTGTTCATGCACATCCTTCATGACCCATCTTTTTTTGGAGTTAGTAATGCAGGAACGGCACATGGTGACATGTTTTCTTGAATCAATCACTTCTTAAGCAAATCAACAACTTGTCTGTGCAACTCTTCATGTTCCATGGGGCTTATTCAATAATGGGCCAAAATTGGTAGGCTAGAACCAGGCACCAAGTCAATGTGATGCTGAATATTTCTCGTTGGAAGAAGACCAATAAATAATTCTTCAGGCATCAAATTTTTATATTTCTCAAATAGAGGTTCAAGAGACCTAGGAATTGCAGTCGGCACAGAATTTTCTTTTGCAAGCAATACATAAATCACATCCATATCCTTGCTGCCCCTTTTTAATTTTTTCACATTAAGCAACTTTGAACCCTCTTCTTTAGTGGATTTGGGTATAGGAAGTTGCTTCATAGGGTGGAGCGTGATATTAATACCATCATTAAAAAAAGAATAAGTGTTTGGTCTAGTTTTATGTATTATATCATGATCATAAAGTCATGGTAGAATGCATTCATAGGTGCTACATTACACCACACTTCATCTTTATAATTAGCACCAATGAAAAAAGAGATTAAACATCCAGTAAAAACTGATACCTCACATCCTTTCTTGAACTACTGGATGTGATATGGGCGTGGGTGCTAATGTTCTCTCAATTGAAGTTTATCCACCATATCTTTATACACAATGTTTTCACTGCTTCCACAATCAATTAGTATTGTGCATATCTTGATGTGCAAGTTGATCGAAAAATATTGTGCTGCAACCACTTCCCTTCCTCGCTAGATATTAAAGTTGATAGCTTGATTCACTGGACAACTAAGGCTTCACCCCCTTCAGCTCCATACAACTCCTCAATCTCACCTTTGAAAG